ATCTCAAGGAAATATGGAAAAAGCCCCAAAAGTTGCTCATTAACAAGATCTAAACAACATGATGAGCAAGGTGATGACTTTTACCTTCCAACAGAAGCTCCAAGTGAATGAATACTTGATCTCACAGCCTTTCCTCGTTCCTTTCTTGAACCTCACTTCTTCTCTTGCAATGATTCACCAAAACACTCAAATATTAGCACTATCACTCTCTTTTAGCTCAAATGGCCGATTAGGGTTTCACACAGGGGAGTTGGGTCGCTGGTGAGGCCAAATTGAGGACACAAGTTCCTTTAAATAACTCCCAACCCGGGAGACTGTAAGTCCCCAATTCTGTTTGTGTATCAATCAAATCCATTTGATGGTGTGGAATCCCAATCAAACGAATGATTTCAGATCTAATAGAATAGAAGGAGAAGAAGAAGATGAATCTATGATGTATTCAAGATTGGAATGATGAACAATACACAAGATTCACACACACTTTCTTCTCTCTCTATATTCTCTTCAACCTTAGAATACACACACTTAAGCTCCTTGGCTCTTTCTCTCACATGCACTCCTCACCCTATATATATATATATATATATATATATATATATATATATATATATATATATATATATATATATATATATATATATATATATATATATATATGGACCTAAGGCCAAGCCCAAAATACAAATAATCCAATGCTAGACCGAAAACACATGGGTTTTCGGTCCAAGCTACAATTAATCCTATCCTATTTTCGGCCCAAATAATAAAAACTATAAATGCTTAGAAAAGCAAAGTATAAACCATATTTTTGACCCAACAATCTCCCCCTTGGTTTATAGCTTTCTTTTCTAAATGACCCAACAAGCTCCCCCTAAAAAGGTAGCTGACTTTTCTTGTTAATCTTCATTGTGAGCTTGGCTTCAGCATTTATCTTCAAATTCTTCACAACTTCAAGATGAACTTGATGAATCTTCAATGAATGACTTCATCTGGAGCAGTTGGGCTTATCTTCAAATTTGACATTGAACGCGCATTGGGTGAGGAGGCTTCTTGAAAAGATTCTTGAAAGATAGCGCTTTCAGCTTGAGAATCTTCAGAGAGAACATCAGAGAGAACGAATCTTCAAGTGCAGCTTCACCTTGCTTCTGGGGTTGAAACATTGAATGTCGAAAGAATAATCTTCATTTCTTGCTCCTTCGAATGAGAATTCTTCGATGCTCACGGATGAAGCCTTGGCTCAGAAATCTTCGACACAAACTCCATGAGTTTCATCTTCACCTGAATTCACTTTTCAAGACAAAACAAAACTAAAAGAAAATTTAGCACACAATATTTTTTTGGGTTTTTCATATTTTCTGAAAAAAATAAAACAGAAACAAAAATATTGTTGGATTTTTGATTTTCTTGAACAAGAAATAAAACAAAATATAACACTATTTTTTTTATTTTGAATTTTCTGATTTTTGTTTGATTTTTGAATTTTTTTAATTCTCCCCCTAAATTTGTGCATAGAGAAAAACTATGAACAAATTTAACAAAAACAAAAATATTTGGGATCAAAGTTGTCAAGCAATCCAATATCGTTTATCAGCACACGCCTGCATGTCTAGATCTGGTCAATCACCGGTATTGTGGTCCACTTAAACACAAAGTATGTTGACAATTTGGACAGATTATAAGTGAAAAGACATTGTGATACATATTCCTAAATGGACATTTAGCTGACGACGACCAAGGATATTGTTGTCCACTTAAATTAAGCAGCGAGATCTACAGACAATCTAGAATTGTTCAATTTTAAGTGTACTAGAACATGTTTCCCGCTTCCTGATATACCCCAATAATCAAGAACTTCCGAGATACTCCTTACTTTAGGTGAGCAGACGATTATTCATAAGAAAGGATAGATTTAGATTGCATATGTTGTATACTCAGGTCGGATCTTTCAATCACGCAGAGAGTGAAACATATGACTGACTAGAATTTCAGAGGAATTGAGAAGTAGAAGGTTGCATATGCTGTGAACCAGGTCGGATTGTTAATCACGCAAAGGAGACAGCATATGACTAACAGATAGGAAGAATTGCATAGATAAAAGATGCATAGCGATAGAGTTGCATATGCTGCAGTCCAGGTCGGATCTTTCGATCACACAGAGGAGGCAACATATGACTAACAGTAAGAGAGAAAGAAAATAATTTTCTACAGACCTACTTTATCGGAATTTCCCAGTCGCTTCGTCAATACCGGAATTAAGGACAGAATCCATACATCGAGGAAAAGTTAAACCACAGTTCTAGATACGGGTTCTTTAATGTAACTGGTGGATTCTCATGTATATCTCCCTGCTCAACCTATCCAAGCGTCGTATTGTCAGGATAAATGGAACTATCTAGGTCAGAATTTATCAAGTCTCTAGATTCCTTAAGTTCATCTGTACCTAGTCAAGTCCATTAAACTTTTCGTGCCTACCAGCGCATCGAACACAGAGCCTAGATAATTTAGCTTTGGAACCTTACACAGATTCAGATTTCCTGTTATCACTTGTTGATATCACTTCCCAATAATAACTACTAACGAAAAACTATAAGAAAATAAAAGATTAACTTAAAAATGAATCAGTGTAAAATAAATTCAGGAGTATCGAGAAGAAAACTCAAACCGTAATTCACCGATTGAATTTGCATCCAGAAGGTCTGAGAATAGCATGCATAATCTTAGAACAGATCCGAAAATTCTTCATGTCATTAAGCACTAACCCCATGTGTGATCCCTTCCTTTCTTCCTTTCCCACAAAGGACGCTCACCAGGCTCCCTAGCCTGACCCACTCAGTTTCTTGTATTACAGGTAGTGGCAAAAGCATAGTTGGATAATTTGACGAGAGATTACGGATTTGAGGTCAGATAGTGTTTTGTGGCCTAAGATGTTTATTTCTTTTTAGTTTATGCTTATGGTCTGTATCGATGATTGACATCCGAGTTTTTGTAATGTAATGGAAATACATTTCTTTAAGAAATGCTTTGATAAAATTTATATCATATTTTGTTTTGGGAACAAATTCCGCAATACTTTTCTTAAGAAGTTACTCTGATTTTTATTAAAAAGCATAAACGAAATCGGTCTTTTCTAGCCATAAAATGGGGATGTCACAGATTTGGGTTTGACTTGTTTTTGGTTCCTAAGGGTAAAGTTGGAAACTTTACCCTTCTAGACATCATTTCGAAGGAGATCTGAGAATTAGAGTTCCTAGATTCGATGGAAATAATTTAATGCATTAAGCTGTTGGATTTCTGGCTAACTCGGCGAGTTCATTAGTGAACTCGGCGAGTTGATGAGAGTTTTCCCGATATGTGTAGTTAATAGAGAAACACGACGAGTTGAAGGACAACTCGGCGAGTTGGGTCAACTCGAACTGTTGACCTTGATTTTTGACCCTGTCTTTGACCAAGTTATTCTAAGGGGTACTTGTGGTAATCAGAGTTGTAACTAAGGGAATTATGGGCTTAGGATAAGACCCATATGGGTTTGTACCCAATTTGAAAATGGGGCCATTAGTGGGCCTTTGCGGATCTTTTGAATTTGGGCCTCAATTGTGATGCATGTCAGGTCAGGGGTAAAATGGTAGTTGGAAAATACTTGAACTTGACATTAAGGTTCACATATGTTATGGTCTCGATAGAAGAATAAGATAATGTGAGCATAATAGTTGTGAATGCGATACACAAGTTCTCTTGTCCTCCATGAAGCGAAGTTCTGAAGGTTGGAAAAAGATAAAGAAGATGAGCACATGCGTCATGCATCAAATAAGAGGACAACCACCCACATTTAAAGTAAACATGACATGTTTAGAGGCCGATGCAGGGTTGAGAAATGTAGTCCTTTGATATGTACAATAGAATATTATAATTGTCACAAGTTTTGCGTTTTCAATATGAAACCCCATCTTAGGAGAGAAGTGAAAACTATGTAGATATAGACAACACTACGGTTAAAAAAATTGGTTTATCACACCTTGAATGAAGTGTTTTCACATACTGTGAAATTAGGAAATAGTATCCCGAATAAATGTCATGGGTCAATGAAGTGTGAAGAAGTTCAAAGAATTGAAGAACACAATTATAAATTAGGTGTATTATGTGTGAGACTTATTTATGTTTGTTTCATTTTCATTTCTTAGCTATTAATTTGTGGAAAACATTGGAAATAAAAAACTATAATGATTATTTTCTCTATCCTTAATCGTTTTATATATTGTACAAAGATGATAAACTCTAATATACTTATTTGATTGAATTGTAAAAATAAAGAAAGTAAGACCGATTAAATATTTATTTATTCATTTATTTACTTATTTTATTTTATTTATGTTTTTTTTTGCAAAACCCTATCCAAAAAATAAGCAGTTGTACACGTAGGTTATATATTTTTTATTATCTTTCAACTAAAGAAAAACGACGTTTTGCAAAAAAAAAAAAGATATATCACATGTCACGACAAGTTTGATGGATAGTAGAATGGGAAAATTATAACTATTTTAGTTCTTTTTCATTTTTTGGCTATTAATTTGTGGAAAACATTAGAAATAAGAAAAAAAACTATAATGGTTATTTTCTCTATCTTTAATCATTTTATATATTGTATAATTAAGATGATACTAATTAGATTGTGCAAATAAAGAGAGTTAGATTGATTAAATATTTTTTTTTAATTATCCTTTCAAAAGATAAGGAAGTTTTGAGTTGTACACGTAGGTTATAGTTTTTCCTTTCTATTTTTATCATCTTTTAACTGAATAAACAAATCCCCATTAGATTTCATTCTAGCAAACCTTTCGGGTCAATCACCAGACGATATACTTTTCCTTTTTTCCCCCTGACACCACTATATAAATAAACTTGCCCACTACTCATACTCATCGACATCATTCTGAGTTTGACACTAGTACTTGTGCTCAATTCCATTGATCTCAAAAAATTCAATGGTGGTCGACAAAGAAATCATGCCACATTGTAACCGAGGTAAACAAGTTGCCATGGATTTCGCTGATCAGCTTCCCTCCTACTATCGATTCTGTCCTACAGATTCAGAGCTCATTGTAGACTGCCTGAACGCCAAGATCGAATCAAGAGAGCCCGCCAAGTGCCGGTTACACGAGGTCAATATTTACAACCACATGCCGGAAGAACTCGCAGGTTAGTTATCAACTAACTAATAAAAGATACATGCATGAGTCTTGTTGAATGAATAATAATGGTTTCTTTCTTGAGTTAGTTCTGATTCTAAATAGTTAATACTTGTGTTTAGTACGTAAAGATACAATAATCTTGAATGATGCATGCTTCATTGCTTTGTTTCTTGAATGATTTGATGCTAATATATCTCATACCTTGCGTTTTAATTGGTTGCATGCAGAAACATATCGGTCCCACGAGAATAAATGGTATTTTCTGACTTCTCGGGATCGAAAGTACCCAAGAGGTAATCGACCTAATAGAGGTGTACTCGGAAAACATGGGTACTGGAAGACTACTCAAATACAAAAGCCGGTGTATGATGCCACGTCTGGAGAAATGGTTGGCTACAAGGGAACTCTTGCGTTTTTTGATCAGAATGATGACAAAACTATGTGGCTAATGCATGAATATACAACCAACGGACCCAATCTTCCTTTTGAAAAAGGAGACAAGGTATGTAGAAATTAATTGTATGAAATTCTGTTGTTATTATTATATAAATTATAAGTATGATTGCTATAATCCTCAATGTTGTATGCTTAATTTTTATCTGGTTTTCTTGTAGTTGAACGAATGGGTGCTGTGCAAGATTTATCGGAATCCAAAGGAGGTGATGGAAGAACCCAACATACCACTGCCCAAGAGACGAAGAGTATTAAAAAAGAATGAAATGAGCTTTTCAAATCACCAACCCGAACAAGTTGACGTTCAAGAAACTAATATCTATTCAGATACCTGTGTTGATCAGATGGTGGCACCTTCCAACGATCAGTCTGCTCACACATGGGTTAACAATGGCAACACCGTTGGCCAAATCAGAATGAACTCCAGCCCCTATCCAATTCCAATGCAACCGATGACTACCTTTCAAGGTTGGAGTTGTTTAATACAAGCACCAACACCGTGCTATCAGAATCAGTTTACTTCGATTGCAAGCAACGGTTGTCAAATTTCTGATCATAGTGCTTCAAGTTCTGTTTCTAATATTGGACAACCTGCTTCCTCCTCACAACCGCTTGATGACGGTGCCTACAAAACGCCTACTAGTGAGCATGGTTTGAATTCAATACAACCAGTGCAAATAAGGGAGTCATGTTATCAGAAGAATATGTTTTCATCGACTAATGCATGCGACGGTTTTCTGTTTTCAAATGGTGCTTCGAATTCTTCTTCTATGGAACCACTTGAATGTAGTGGCTACCCACCGGTCTTGGTTCAAAGTTCTTATGACAATGCGCCAACCATAGTCGACGTGCAAAATGTTTGGGACCAATCCGCTCAAGGTGATGCTGCTGCTCCTGTTGAAGTTGAATTGAGCTCGGAAAGTGTGGACAGATTTATAGAACAATCCATGGGGGTGCCTCACGATGATGCTGCTACTGAAGATTTTCATTTTCGTGATAGTTGCAAGGCAACAATATCTTCTCCTTTTGAAGTTGAATGGAGCTCGGAGAGTATGGACAGATATATAGAACAATATTGTATGGGGGTGTCTCAAGATGATGATGATGAAGATCCGAAAACCCAACTCAACGTCCAAACTGGTTCGAATCATTACATGGTGGACGTATGTCACGACGATACTGCTGATCACCCTATCCCCCAGCCTCTTGATGATGCAGATAAATGGATCTTGAATATCGTTTCTTTTGATTTTTGAAGAATCCATTTAATGTAGTCCCTCCCGCTAAACTTGATATCAGCTAGTGAATTTCATACATTACAAGATGTAACTATTGTTTTATATTCGATATCTCACTGTAGATGTAAATAAAAGTATCAGAATAGTAACATGTTAATTCCTCAATTGTTTAACTAAAGTAAAGTAGTTTTCTCGTTAATTAGGATTCCTTCTATTATTTAAGAAGTTATAAGAGGCTAACAGTAATTTCATGTTGGTGTTGCTATGAGAATGATAATTAAAATATAGCGTCTAATATGGTGATCAACCTTTAGTAAGTGAAAACCAAATGCGTTCTTGTCATTGTTGAGATTTGGGTGTAATATTTCTAATATTGCAATTGTAAAGACACAGACAAATATATATATCAAAATAACTCTTTGATTGATTGGAAATATAACTCAAAACCAATTACATATATATGTGTATATGTCTATGTATGTTGTTGTGTTTAACCCTCTTGGTAATACACTGAATATATAGGATTGATAGAATCATTTTAATCCTATAATTAATACACATGAGACCCAACCACTTGTTGGTGTCCCTTACTTTGTTCCAGGAATCAAGTTTACTTTGTTGGAGTGGAAAACAGTGGTAGGGTATTAAGGAATTTAAGATTCCAACAATCACCCTCGAATCTCTAAGTCCTTCTAGAGATGTTTTTCAATCCCGATCAAGTCCCGCATTGTCTTGAACTTGGTTCGAGCCAAGGGTTTTGTGAGAATGTCTGCCTTTTGTTCTTCACCTGGAATGTATTTCACCTCCACTTGTTCCTTTTCAACACACTTACGAATGAAGTGAAACCTCGTGTGAATGTGTTTGCTTCTTCCGTGAAAAACAGGATTCTTCGTGAGTTCGATAGCTGACTTGTTATCAACTCTTAGGACCACCTTCTCTTGTGCTTTGTTCATGATTTCGCCTAGCAAATCTTGAAGCCATATTGCTTGACATGCAGCCGCAGTTGCAGCCATGAACTCCGCCTCGCAAGATGATAAAGCAACAGTATCTTGCTTTTGAGAACACCATGTTATTGGAGACAACCCATAGTAGAAAATGTGACCGGTTGTGCTTCTTCCGTCATCTGGATCAACATTATGACTACTATCACTGTAACCAATTATTCGATTTTGTCCCATCCTCTCGTACTTGATTCCGTATCCCGTTGTTCCTCGTAAATACCTTAGGATGTGTTTGATTGCAACACCATGTGATTCTCTTGGATCTTGCATGTATCGACTAACAACTCCAACCGCATATGCCATATCGGGTCTTGTCTGCAAGAGATATCTAAGGCATCCTACCAACTTTCGGTATTGTGTCGGGTCGATTTCGGGTTCATCTTCGGCCTTCGACATTTTGGTTCCTGGATCCATGGGAATGTGGGTCGGATTGCAATCGTGTAAACCGGCTTCTTTTAGAATGCGTCTAGCATACGCTTCTTGGTTTATAGTAATCCCTGATTCTTCTTGTTTGACTTCAATGCCCAGGTAGTAAGTTAATCTTCCAAGATCAGACATCTCGAAGTTCTTGGACATTTCAAATTTGAACCTTTTGATCATGCTCAAATTTGTACCTGTGACAAACAAATCATCAACATAGATTGCTAAAATTAGCAAGTTGGATCTTTCGTTCTTCCGGTACACCGATGGTTCTTTCATGCACTTGTGAAATTTCATTCCTTTCAAAATCCCATCAAGTTTTGTATTCCATGCTCTCGGTGCTTGTCTAAGACCATATAGTGCTTTTGAAAGACGGTACACCTTGTGCTCGTCGCCTTTCCTTATGTAGCCTTCCGGTTGATACACATAGACGGTTTCTCTCAACTCTCCATGTAAGAAAGCCGTCTTGACATCCAAGTGGTGAAGCTCCCATGCATTGGTAGCGGCTAAGGCAATGAGAAACCGTATGGTTTCGATGCGAGCTTCCGGAGCAAATACTTCTTGAAAGTCAATACCAGGTTGTTGTACGTACCCTTTAGCAACCAACCTCGCCTTGTGTTTGTTTATGGTGCCATCTGCATTTTTCTTCAGCTTGAACACCCATTTGAGTCCAATGGGCTTCACCCCCATAGGTTTGTTTACGAGAGACCAAGTATTGTTCTTGTTGATTGAATTGATCTCTGTATTCATAGCTTTGACCCACTCTGGTTCTTTCTTCGCCTCTTCAACCGATACCGGCTCGTCATTGGTTGCTAGGAGAAGTTCTTCAATTTCATCAACATAAAGTACATAATCTCGTAATCGAATTGGAAGCACCTTTTGTCTTGTGGGCCTTTGGTTTTGAACATTGTTCACGTTGTTGTTGATCGGACTTGGTTGCTCATTTTCTTGTACCTCCACTCCGTCTTCAATCTCGTGATCCAATTCGTTTGGTTCGTTGTTTACATCGTTTCCTTGGTTGTTGTTTGCCTTATCTTCCGGTAAATCCCATGGTACTATGAATGATCCTGGTTCTTCATTGTCAGGTGTAGCTTCGTTAACCCAATTCCATCCTTTGGTTTCATTAAAAATAACGTCTCGACTTACGATTATTTTTTGTGTAACCGGGTTAAATAACCGATAGGCTTTTGTACCCGGTTCAGAACCAAGATGAAGCATTGGTCTTGATCTTGCATCCAATTTTTTCACGTTTACCGGTTCAACTTTTGCATACGCTAAACACCCAAAGATGCGTACGTTCTCCAAATTAGGTTTTCTTTTATACAACTTCTCGTACGGAGTTGTATCACCAAGTACTCTTGTGTAAACACGGTTGATCAGGTTTGTGGAATGTTTTACCGCTTCTCCCCATAGATAGTTTGGAACATGCATCGCCTTCATGATACTTCGTGTCATGTCCATAAGTGTTCTGTTTCTTCGTTCCACAATACCGTTTTGTTGTGGTGAATATGGGGCGGTAAGATGGCGTTTGATTCCATTCATATCACAAAAGGAATTAAACTCGAGCGAAGTAAACTCACCTCCTCGATCACTTCGAAACACCTTTAAAGACTTTCCGAGCTCATTCTCCGCCAAAGCTTTAAATTTTTTGAAGTGTAAAAACGCCTCATTTTTCTCTTTTAAGAGAAAAATCCACATATACCGTGAAAAATCGTCAATTAGTGTGAAAATGTACCGATTTTGACCCTTCGTTGACGGTGTTATCGGACCACATAAATCACCGTGAACTAGCTCCAATGGCCGTGTTGCTTTGTACGTCGTCATTAATGGAAATGACTTTCTTGTTTGCTTGCCCACCAAACAAGATTCACACAATTGATTTTCACTGTCAAAATGGGGTAACCCTTTGACTAGACCTTTCTTGGACATCTTTTTCATTGACTCGAAATTGATGTGTCCAAGTCTTGCATGCCAGCGCCACGTGTCTTCACTCAGTCTTGTATGAAGGCAAATAGGTACTCCAATGGGCAACTGTATTTTATAAAGGCGGTTTGGAGTTCTTTGTACTTTCATTAACAAGCAGTTGTCGGCATCATGCATTGTCAAATAGTTGTCTTTCATCCGAATATCGCACCCGGCTTCGGTTGCTTGTCCGAGACTGAAAATATTATTTTTCAAATCCGGAATGAAATAAATCTCCGTTATCAATCGTTGTTGTCCCGATTTTCCTTGGAAAACAATTGAGCCTTTCCCTTTTATTTCGACACACGAATTATCACCGAATTTGACCTTTTCGGTTATTCCTTCGTCGAGTTCGGAGAAAAATGAACGATTTCCCGTCATGTGATTACTTGCCCCGTTGTCCAAATACCACACATCGTTTTCTTGTGAGTTGTATCGAGACGGTATCACCTTCTCTTCGTTCAAAAATACGGACTCGTGTAGAAATACTGTTTCATCGGCATCGTCGTGTTCAGTAAAATTACTTTCTTGGAATTTTTGGGTTCTGTCCGGACATTTGGATGCGTAATGTCCCGATTTATCGCATCTGTAACAAATAATTTTTGACAGATCCTTTTTCGGGTTACGGTTCGAGTCGGAATTGAAATTGGGCTTGTTTTTGGGCTTATTAGGGTTTTGGGCCGAACTGGGCCGGTTTCCACTTGGGCCTGACCCATTGGGTCCTGCTGACCCGGATCCTCCACCCGACCCGGATCCATTCCGATTAAAACCTCCTGAGTCGGAGCCATTTGAACCCTTCCCCTTTTTTCCCCAGTTCGTCTTCCCCGACGATCCAGAGCTTCCACCGCCATCATTTCTCCATCCACCACCACCACTCGTTCTAGCCATCAACGCCTTTTGTTGCCCGTCTCCGCCTTCATCTGCTTTGATTCTTTCTTCATACGCTTTCAGACGCCCTACGACGTCATCGAAGGTTACTGTCTTCAAGTCTAGTACTTGCTCGAGGGAGGCAACGATTTGTATGAATCGATGAGGTACCACCGTCAAGAGTTTCTTCACGAGTCTCGTTTCTCCGATGGGTTCTCCCAGTGACGCTGACTTCGAGGCGATTCCAGCGAGTTTTCCGGCGAAAGCGTCTATCATCTCTGTCTCCTGCATCTTCAGTCGGTCTAGATCGGCGGTGAGGGTTTGAAGTCGAGCTTCTTTTACTCTGTCGGCTCCAACATGTCGAGCCTTAATAGATTCCCAGAGGACCTTTGCTCTATCGACGTCCCCTATCTGCATTATCAGGCTCTCAGGGATTGCTTGATACAACAATCCCATGGCAAGGTAATTTTTCTCTTCATTCTCTTCTCCTGGTTCAATTACTGACCAGCTTCTATGTATTCGCAGGACTACTTTCATACGGAGGGACCAGACCATGTAATTGGTCTGGTTTAGCATTGGGCAAGCGACTGTGGTTGTTCCGACTTCTTTGATTCTCGTTGGAGGAGCAGCAGCACCCCCACTTCCATCATCTTCAATATCGGACATTTTAAACAGATAAGCTTCCTTGATTTCTCAGTTCCCCTTGACTGATTTCAAGGCTCTGATACCAATTCTAATATTGCATGTAAAGACACAGACAAATATATA